CAAACAAAACCCAAAGTAGAAGCAAAGAAACCATAAAGACCAAAGCAGAAATAAATGAGAAAGAAATGAAGGAAACGATAGCAGAGATCAATAAAACTAAAAGCTGGTTCTTTGAGAAGATAAATAAAATTGACAAACCATTAGCCAGACTCATCAAGAAAAAAAGGGAAAAGATTCAGATCAACAGAATTAGAAATGAAAAAGGAGAAGTAACAACTGACACTGCAGAAATACAAAGGATCATGAGAGATTACTACAAGCAACTATATGCCAATAAAATGGACAACCTGGAGGAAATGGACAAATTCTTTAAAAGGTATAACCTTCCAAGACTGAACCAGGAAGAAATAGAAAATATGAAAGACCAATCACAAGTAATGAAATTGAAACTGTGATTAAAAATCTTCCAACAAACAAAAGTCTAGGACCAGATGGCTTCACAGGTGAATTCTATCAAACATTTGATAGAGAAGAACTAACACCCATCCTTCTCAAACTCTTCCAAAAAATTGTAGAGGAAGGAACACTCCCAAACTCAGTCTACAAGGCCACCATCACCCTAATACCAAAACCGGACAGAGATACTACAAATAAAGAAAATTACAGACCAATATCACTGATGAATATAGATGCAAAAATCCTCAACAAAATACTAGCAAACAGAATCCAACAATACATTAAAAGGATCATACATCATGATCAAGTGGGATTTATCCCAGCGATGCAAGGATTCTTCAATATATGCAAATCAATCAATGTGATACACCATATTAACAAACTGAAGAATAAAAACCATATGATCATCTCAATAGATGCAGAAAAAGCTTTTGACAAAATTCAACACCCATTTATGACAAAATCTCTTCAGAAAGTGGGCATGGAGAGAACCTACCTAAAAGGCCATATACAACAAACCCACAGCCAACATCACTCTCAATGGGGAAAAACCGAATGCATTTCCTCTAAGATCAGCAATAAGACAAGGATGTTCACTCTCGCCACTGTTATTCAACATAGCTTTGGAAGTCCTAGCCACGGCAATCAGAGAAGAAAAAGAAATAAAAGGAATTCAAATTTGAAAAGAAGAAGTAAAACTGTCACTGTTTGCAGATGACATGATACTATACATAGAGAATCCTAAAGATGCCACCAGAAAACTACTAGAGCTAATCAATGAATTTGGTAAAGTTGCAGGATACAAAATTAATGCACAGAAATCTCTTGCATTCCTATACACTAATAAAGAAAGATCAGAAAGAGAAATTGAGAAAACAATCCCATTCACCATTGCAACAAAAAGAATAAAATACCTAGGAATAAACCTTCCTAAGGAGGTAAAAGACCTGTACTCAGAAAACTAAAAGACACTGATGAAAGAAATCAAAGATGTCACAAACAGATGGAGAGATATACCATGCTCTTGGATTGGAAGAATCAATATTGCCCAAAGGAATATACAGATTCAATGCAATCCCTATCAAATTACCAATGGCATTTTTTTACAGAACTAGAACAAAAAATCTTTAAAAGTTGTATGGAGACACAAAAGACCCAAAATAGCCAAAGCAATCTTGAGGGAAAAAAACAGAGTTGGAGGAATCAGACTCTCTGACTTCAGACTACACTACAAAGCTACAGTAATCAAGACAATATGGTACTGGCACAAAACCAGAAATATAGATCAAAGGAAAAGGATAGAAAGCCCAGAGATAAACCCATGCCCCTATGGTCAACTAATCTATGACAAAGGAGGCAAGGATATACAATGGAGAAAAGACAGCCTCTTCAATAAGTGGTGTTGGGAAAACTGGACAGCTACATGTAAAAGAATAAAATTAGAACACCCCCTAACACCACACACAAAAATAAACTGAAAATGGATTAAAGACCTAAATGTAAGACCTGACACTATAAAACTCTTAGAGGAAAACACAGGAAGAACATTCTTTGACATAAATCACAGCAAGATCTTTTCTGAACCACCTCCTAGAGTAATGAAAACAAAAAGAAAAATAAACAAATGGGACCTAATGAATTTTAAAAGCTTTTGCAAAGCAAAGAAAACTATAAGATGAAAAGACAACTCTCAGAATGGGAGAACATATTTGCAAATGAATCAACGGACAAAGGATTAATTTCCAAAATATATAAACAGCTCATGCAGCTCAATATTAAAAAAACAAGCAACCCAATCCAAAAATGGGCAGAAGACCTAAGTAGACATTTCTCCAAAGAAGACATACAGATGGCCAAGAAGCACATGAAAAGCTGCTCAGCATCGCTAATTATTAGAGAAATGCAAATCAAAACTACAATGAGGTATCACCTCACACCGGTTAGAATGGGCATCATCAGGAAATCTGCAAACAACAAATGGTGGAGAGGGTGTGGAGAAAAGGGAACCCTCTTGCACTGTTGGTGGAAATGTAAATTGATACAGCCGCTATGGAGAACAGTATGGAGGTTCCTTAAAAAACTAAAAATAGAATTACCATATGACCGAGCAATCCCACTACTGGGTATATACCCTGAGAAAACCATAATTCAAAAAGACACATGCACCCCAATGTTCACTGAAGCACTATTTACAATAGCCAGGTCATGGAAGCAACCTAAGTGCCCATCAAGAAAGGAATGGATAAAGGAGATGTGGTATATATATACAATGGAATATTAGTCAGGTATAAAAAGGAATGAAACTGGGTCATTTATAGAGACGTGGATGGACATAGATACTGTCATACAGAGTGAATTAAGTTAGAAAGAGAAAAACAAATATCGTATATTAACGCATATATGTGGAATCTAGAAAAATGGTACAGATGAACCAGTTTTCAAGGCAGAAATAGAGACACAGATGTAGAGAACAAACATATGGACACCAAGGGGGCAACGTTGGGGGGCAGGTGGTGGTGGTGGGATGAACTGGGAGATTGGGATTGACATGTATACACTAATATGTATAAAATAGATAACTAAAGAACCTGCTGTATAAAAAAATAAAATAAAATTCAAAAATAAACAAATAAATAAATATACTTCTCAGGAATGTTTCAGAAGTGTTCCTTACCCCCTTGAACATGGCTCCCGTGGTCTAACTGCACGCTTTCCCGCATGAACTCCATGAGGGCACAAATCATACTACATTTAACCATGTAACCTCTGAGCCTGTCATATAATAAGGGCTCAATGAATACTTCCTGAACACATCAGTTCTTTTAAAAAATATAATCAGGTTTACTAATCTCTCTGAAGTGATCCCATTTATTTAAAGACAAAAATGATGAAAAATCCAGTAGTTCAGTTATAAACCGAATTGTGTCCCTGTTCCCAACCTCCCCCCAAAATTCGTATATTGAAGCCCTAACCCTACCTCAGAATGTAAGTGCATTTGGAGATAGGGTCTTCAAAGAGGAAATTAAGTTAAAATGAGGTCATCAAGATGAGCCTTAATCCAGCAGGATTAAGAAGAGATTCGGACACAGACACACACGGAGGGAAGACCATGTGAGGACACAGGGAGAGGAAGGCCACCCACAAGCCAAGGAGAGAGGCCTCCTGAGAAACCAACCCCACAGACACCTTGATCTCAAGACATGTAGCCTCCAGAATCACAAGGAAATAAACTTCTGTTGTTCAAGTCCCCCGGTGTATAGTACTTGTGATGGCAGCCCCAGCAGACGATGACAGGCCTAGAGCCTGTCCTGTATAGGGCATTTTTAACAGAAAGGCAAAATAACAAGATGTGTGTGTGTGTGTGTGCATGCCTGTTTAGCTGCACTGCCAAGTAGACAATCTGCTAGATTTTTCCCCTGGCAGGCTGTGCTGGCAAGATTTAGATGGTGCGCTACTCTGTGGAAGGCAGGGCCCACCTCCATCTGGCATCTCCCTGTGCACTAAAATTGGATTTAAAAGAAAAAAGAAAAGAAAGGAAACCTCCTGAGCAGGCTCCAGCTCTACTAGAAGAAAAGCACAGCTTTAGGTTCTGAACCACGAGCCTTCCACCTGACAAAATCCACCAGCCTTTCCCCAGGCTTCCTGTCCATCCAGATCCCTTGTCCAGGGGACCTAGATCTTGAGCCTCCCTCCCTGGGGCTCCGCCCTCCTTCCCACGTGCACTGAGGAGGCTGCTGGGCCCCAGGACCCCTGCTCCCCACATGAGCGCCTGCTGCTCCCGGCCATAGTCACCAACACCCCGCTTCTGTACAGCTATGACACAGTATGAATCCAGTCATACAGCAACTCCGGGACTCCGAGAGTCTCAGAAGCAATTCCGCGCACAGCCACCTGGGTTTACTGCATTGGAATTCCATAAATATTTATCTACACTGAGCCTCAGCCAGCCAGCGGGGGCATCAGGCCAGAGTCTGTTCATCTCATGGCAGAGACCAGTGGGAACCAGGGGACAGCACGGGGACCCAGAGGGTCACACACACCCAGGCACCATGGGGAGGATGCGTCAGGGGAGACGGAGTTGTCTCAGAGTCCACTAATTGGCCATAGAGGATGTGTGATCAAACCAGACTTTCCCATCTAAGCTGCTGAGAAATCTCTACAATGTTCAAGACACTTAACAAACACTGGGTAGTTACATTTGAAATGAACGCTTAAACTGCTACTCCCTTTTCAACAGATGTGAAGATTTCTAAGCTAGTCAAAGGAAAAGACTTATTTTTCTCTGGATTTAATAACACAGAGCTCCACGAGTGTGGGCTCTGCAGCCAGACTGGCCCAAAGCCTGGCTCCCTCAATTCACTGCAGGGTGATCCTGGGTAGGTAACTCAAGCACTCTGGTCTCAGCTTCTTCATCTATAAAACTATAAGACTAGTAATTCCCCCATAGGGTTGTTACAGAGCTAAAATGACTTGCTACTTGGAAAGCCCCTAGAACAGTACTGTGAGCGGAACATAGAAAGCAATAATAAGTGTTAGCTACAAACACAATGAAAGAGAATTTCCCGTAAGAACTGCCACGTAAGCCCTGAGAGGAAGTGACATACCTTAACTTTGGAGTTCTCTATCAAATGCTGAGCCATGGATTTGATCAAAACTTCAAAGAAAAACCATGAATACTGAAAGAAACGAAAGAATCCAGTAAGGAAAACAACAAATCAGAAGGTGAGACATTTACTCCCTTAGGCTGACAATGTCACTGATGTGAAACAAGTGTGACCTGAAAACATAGCTGAGCCTCTTGGCGAATGGCTGTCAGAGCAGAGGTCCAAGGTAGATGCACCCGCTTCCACGCGTCTAACAGTAAACGATGCCGTACACTCAGCAGACAGTCAGCACGGCACAGCCAACCAGAGGTGCCAGCTCATTCGCACTGGCCTTTCCTCTCGGTTGGGTCCCACCCGGGGACACTTGCCTTTATAGTCTCTAACTCAGTGTCCTCCAACGGTTTGAATATAATGACTGTGAAACTTTGAATACAGTAATACCTTGCGGCCCTGTTAGGAGCACAAGTACAAGCAGCGAAGTTGGTACTGAAGAACTAACTCTGTTACCCCCTTTTAGGAGGTGGTGATTGTCTCCAAAAGCACACAAAGAGGGTGAAATCGATCAGGCCACGAAGTCTGACTTTTCTTCAGTTTCAATACCACAGAGCCACACTGGCCCTCCTGACATACCTTAAGTAGTTTGTTGCTGGTGAGGAAATCGGCGGAAGGCTTGAGAATTGTGGTCATGGATTTGGTCAGCTCTTCATGCACCGTCTTGTATTCGGAAGCAATATACGGCTCAGCCTTATAAGCATACTTTGAAGAAAAGGGAAAGATATTTTAATGCACCGGTTCTCCAAGTTGGGCTGAAAGCTGGAGAGGCTCCTAAGGATGGAGATCAGGGACTGAATACAACTGCATGGGTGGGAGAGGAGGTGTGGAAACGGAAGGTGGGAAGGGTGGTTGTCATGTGACAGGAAGAGGGAGCCCAGGGTGTCTTCAGGGAGCCCATCAAAACATGTGAATCACCTGACTCAGCTGGTGGGTCCTCCAGCCCAGAACTCCACCTCCCAAGGACTTTAAGCAACGTGTCGCATGACACTCAGGAACTGATTCCCTAAAGCACCCCAATTTTACTTTTTAAACTAATACATAACTATAATTCACAGAGGTGTCGAAGGTTAAATAGAACACGTGTAACTTTTGAGAACAGTAAAGGCCACCATGTTCACGAAATATTGTTATGTAAATGACAAACTTGTTGATGTTTATCCTAACGGCACCTCTTACTTTCCTTCATAGTCTTCTAATTGATGGTGGCCACAGCTAACCTTCCCATCTTTCAATTTCTATGTCATTTGGGTCACATTATTTGCAAAACCCATAAAAGGACGAAATGCAGCTGAAAGAATGAAATTAGGTAAATAAAGGAATGGCTGCCCCTCTCTGGACTTCCCCGCGTTCAGGTGCAAGCACCAGCTATAGGCATAGAAGATAAAGCAGAGGTGTTAAGTTTCATCCCAAATACATCAGTAAGTCCTCAGAAGGAAAATTGGAGAGCCACAGATTTAAATGACCGGGGCAGTTTCATTTACATACCTTAACATATGACCTCAAGTGGCTCTCCAATCCTTCCTCATGGCACTGGGCAACCACATGAATAATGACCCTACACATCACAGGAATGAATAAAGCAATGAACAGTAATGTGAAAATGGAAACATTTCATTATTATCACAGTAGCAGTAGAACAATGATGGTGCTATTGGCACCACAGGAAACGAGAAAACAAGGAATCAGATGGGGTCCCCGCATATGGGATCAAAAGAAATTTCTTAACTATAATGTTCAACACATACTCGCATCCCAGATATGTATGACTGTGCTCCAGATGCGGACAGACTGAAAGGGAAGAAGAGTGTCCACCTCTCTCTGCCTCTCTCACCGTGTCACGTTGACGGCAACTTCCTCCTGGGTTGCTCGGGTGAGGACACGGAATAGCTGGTTTAGGATGGTGGGCAAGAAGGCGATCATCACGTGACCTTCCATCGCGTGCAGGCTCTACAGACGTGGAATGGCAAAGTTTGTGTTACCTTTTTAAAAATAAACCAACCCCAAGAAGTTTCCACTTAGTTCCAAATAAGGATGGAAGAAATCCATCTTAAACAAATGGAGACAGTGGCAGGCAGACTAATCGGCAAAGATGTCCACGTCCTAAACCCCAGAACCTGTGAATGTGTTACATGGCAAAGGGGAATTAAGGCTGCTAATCAGATTAGCTGGCCGTGAGACAGGGGACTCTGCTGGATTATCCAGGTGGGCCTGAAGTAATCACAAGCATCCTCAAAAGTGGAAGAGGGAGGCAGGAGAGTGGGGCGAAGAATGCTCAGAGATGCAACATTGTTGTCTTTGAGATGGAGGAAGGGGCCACAAGCCAAGGAATGAGTGCAGCCTTTAGGAGCTGGAAAAGGACAGGAAATAGATTCACCCCTAGAGTTTCCAGAAAGGAACTCAGCCCTGTTAATAACACCCTGGTTTTAGCCCAGTGAAACCCGTGTCAGATCTCTGGCCTACAGGAAGTGTAAGAAAACAAATTTGTGTTGTTTTAAGCCACCATTTTGTAGTAATTTGTTACAGCAGCAATAGAGAATGAATAAAAGGCTCTTATTCAAGTCACATGGCTCTTATGATATAGCTGAAAGGGGACCTGGAGCAGTGATTTCAGAATCCCCATTCCATTTTCCTTGCTTAAATCAAACAAATTCCACTTCTCACATTTCTTCTATTCTGTCCCCATGCTTAGAACGCCCTTTTTCGAAATGCTCCCCTAGAATCATGCTCTGGGTGAAACTCCCCTAGACCAACCCTCCTGCTCTCCCTGTGCCATGACTCCAGGAGCCCCCCAGCCTGCCCAAAGCTGGAGTTGGTTATGTGCATCATTTCTGGGTTTTTTTGCCTACCTAGCATGCATTCACCAAGTTTATGTTGTCCCCTACAATGAATAAGAAGTTACTTAACAGTGGGACTAAAGTCACTGCTTTTTATGTGCCTGTGACTGTGCTCTGCGCCCAGTGAGCACTCACAGGCAGGGCCTCTAAGTGGGTGCTTTTCTATGCGGAATAATGTGTTTTAGGTCCAGCCTGAGAAAAGGATATGTGGAGCTGGAATGAAGATCACAGTGGTATTATTTCCGAGTCCACTTCTTCCCACTATCTAAAACCACATAGATGCCACCAGTGTGAGGTCATCTAGCTAAGAGCAGCCTTGTAAGATTTCCAAGGGGTAAGAAGAACACTCACCACCAAATAAAAAACCCAACCTACTGTACACTCATTAAAAAGGGGTTACTAAGAAAGCTATGTGATACCTTCAGGTATTTTACAAGTTCGCTCCCTAAGGCTTGGGCTCCAGATTCGGTTTTCTGACAGTACTGGAAAAAATTATGGAAGTGCTGATCCTGGGGAGATAAAAGAAGACAAGAAAATGAAAGCTTATTAGCATATCTGCTGTGGAAACAGAAGTATTTGCTTCTTGCAGCATGTATGTTTTATTTAGACTACAAAACATCATATAAAAATGAAAGCATCAAAGAGATAAAAATAAATTTAAAAAAAGATTTCAAAGATCCTCCAACAAAAGAGGAAAACTGTTGAGAAATGTTACTTGTACTATTCATTTATATCATTACATGAGAGCACCTTATATGCACTTTCTTTCTTCAAAAAAGGACTTATAGAGTGAAAATATATCTAGGTAATATATCAATTAGGATTTTATTTTGCCAAAAAATCATGCAAACTCATTCACAAAGCAATCACTGCTAATTTTAATGGAACAGCACTTACCTGAGTATACACTGTGGAAACCAGATGAGTTGAAACTTTCAGCAGCGGCTTGCTTCCATCTACCCATTTAATTTCTGGACCATAATGCTGAAAAAATATGGAGGGAAGAAACATCCCAACAGATTAGTGACATTAGCTTCAAACATCATCTTCAGTGAAGGTACTGATGAGGTGCTGAAGGCCAGACAGCCTCAGTAACTTGAGATTTATGCCTGGCTCACAGCAGGAACGTAACCAGTACCACTTTCTGCCTACTTCCTTCTCCCAAGTACAATGCTCTTCCTACTGGATATTCTAAGCTACCTTTTCTGTGTTCTTGCAGCTGTATGAATTACTGTCCATTTGAGAGGGAAAGACTCCCAATATTACCAGTGACTTAACCAAACTTGAGTTCAGGGTTCTGAAAGTCATGGCATAAGGTACCAGATAAAGTAAATAGGATAGTAAGTATTCCTGGCACAGGCAAAGGGTCCATCATCTGTTTGTGTTCAGTTTTATTTCTGAAACCTCTGTTTTTCTCATGTTCAGACTAGGAATAATAACTGAATGTTACATGATTTACCCTTATTTTGGAATATTTTAACTATTTGTTCATAACATGGGCCCAAATTGGGCACTATTTAAATGCAGAGAGATATTAAATGCCATTCACAATGAAACAGAACGGATCTTAACTAAGCATGTTATAAAACTGAAGTCTGTAACATTTAAGATGGCTAAAAAGAATATAAAACCAACAAACCAATTGGAGAAATCTGAGAAAATTCAAGCTCTAATGAATCAGAAATGTATCAGAGTGGACTACCATGTGGGTGAGAGATTTGCTTACTAGACTTACAATAAGTTGGAAGACAATTCCTAACCATTTGCATGACTCTAAGAACCTATCTTTATTTGAGCACGACTAGTTTTCAGAGACAAAATTCCATCTCATACAGCACGTCCAAGTTTCCATTTCCCTGCTGAAGCACTGCTAGTTCAGGGCTTATAAAATGCCCAAACTGTAATTCCAGATTGTGATAACTGTTAACAGCACTGCCTTCCAGTAGCCTAAGTTTACTTGAAAATGAAAAACTAAAACCAAAATGTGGGACTGGCAAAAATACTGCATGCTTTTGTGTGTTACTGTTGTTTTAGCTGATCTTTAATGCTTTCTGAAGGAACTGCGATCAACCAATCTTAAAGTACTGTACCCTGCCCATCCCAAGCTCCTGGTAGCCAAGGTAGCCGGATGGGAGATTGGCTGAGACAGGGATGTGCTGCTCGCTAGTCACCACCCTTCCGTCTTTCAGGAGAGGAAGCCAGGAATATCCAACTGTTGAAATAAAGAACAAAAAAATCACCGATAAGTGTAGGAAAATGTATGAAGACAGCCATGTTACTAAATTGCCTGATCTTTAAGAACTGTTAATACCAATCAGAGTAAGAAACTGAAAAGACCCTGAATATAGTCTCTGCAGAACAGCGTCTATAATGTACGCTGGCCTCTCTGGGATTAGAATTCTAAGATTATCTCCTACAAAATGGACGTATGAGAGCCGGGCATGCTACCCTTACAAATGTCATCTAAAAAGGCCTTCACAAAAGGATGCAAATTCAGAATCAAAACAAAATTTAAGAACCTAATGTGTAAGTTGTGAACAATCAAAGGAATATGATGAAATTCAAACCTTGTGTTTCAACAACATCCTTCTTCTTTGTGCTTCCTTTGCTTGAATTATCACAGCTGACATGGGAGAATGTGAACAGCAAGTGGTGCTTTTCATGTAGCTGGGTGGGCAATTCTATTTTAATCTGCAAGGAAGACAAAATAACAATCTTTTTTATATTCCAAAACAACAACGTGTCACCCATGTACAGACGTGTATTTGCTCTCCAAACTGATTTAACGTTTGCAGTTAAAGAGAGCTGAGGCTGTAAAGTTGTGCTAAGGAAGAAATGGATCCTTAATACACTGTACTGGTCTAAATGTTTGTGTCCCCCACAAATGCATATGTTGAAATCCCAGCTCCAAAGGTGATGGTATTAGTAGGTGGGGCCTTTGGGGTGATTAGGGCATGAGGATGGAGCCCTCATAAATGGGATTAGTGCTCTTGTAAGAGATCCTATAGAGCTCCCCGGCCCTTCCTGCCATGGGAGGACACAACTGAGAAGTCTGTGACCCGGGAGGTGGCCCTCACCCAACCATACTGGCACCCTGATCCTAGACTTCCAGCCTCCAGAACCATGAGCAATTAATAATCTGCTGTTTACAAGCCACCCAGTTGGTGGTATTTTGTTACAGCAGCCTGAATGGACTAAAAACATTCACTGACCAAAAAACAGGAGAGTTGGTATTTCAACTCTAGAAAGAACTGGAAAACTCATGACAGAAACCACTTCGTTAACACAACCAAGGCATAATGAAAAACCAGGTTTAAACATTTAAAAGTAGGATTCACATAGTAGTTTTAATGAACTGCATTGTAATTCTACATAAGGAAACCCAAAAACAGGAAAGGAAGATTCTCAGGTCCAACAAGTATTTAACTAAAGTATGCATTTGAACGGAAATATTAATTGTGGTAGGGACACAGGAGGAATTTTGACTTTTTCTTTTCTATATTATCTGCATTTTCCAAGTTCTTATTTTTTATAATAAATGTTACTTTTATAATTAGAAAAATTATGCAAAATAAATATTTCAACATTTAGTTCTATTACTGTAATTTCAGTATGCAGCTTCTCTTGAATCCTGGTTTACTAGGCAAAGAAAGTGGAGTTTTCCTTAAAACTGGTTAAACTGGGTTTTCTCTTGAAAACCTCACTTACCTCATCATAAAATTCTGGGTTTTGGTGATGATGTAGAACTGCAGCAAAGGCGCTTCTTGTGAATACTGGCCCACCAGGTCTGCCATAAATGCACTAAAATAAGAATGAGTGAAGGGAGACACCAGTCTTCAATTAATAGAGTAAGAAATTAAACTCAGATGTGTTGTAGAGAAAGCAGCATTCCTACAGCATAAACTAAGCCACCTTTGATGGATTTCTCCTGCTTACAAGACTCCAGACCCACAAGCCCTCTTACTCCTAGATCCGACCCACCCCTGGCTCATCTCCCAGCCCTCCCCTCCACTCCCTCCCCCACCCCTCCCCCACCCCTCCGTGCCCTGGACAATGCCTGCTCACTGCTCACTTTCACCTCCATGCCTTTGCTGACACAAACCCTCGGTCTGAACGACCTTCCCTCCCATGTACAGCAAGCAAACTCTCATGCATCCTTCAAGAAATGATTCATTCCTTCCTGTGTCCCCTCGGCAATTTTTTATAGTAATTATTCAGTTTTATCCAAAAAACCATTTCTGTACCTTCTGTGTGCCAGGAGCTTTTCCTCCATGACTGCCTTTCCCACTAAACTGTGAATTTCTTGAGGGCAAAAACTATATTATATTCTTTGCATCTTTATCTCCTTCCCTTTTTGGAAAGTCATTTCCACACAGTTACAGTAAAGAATTTGGGCTCTGGAGCCAGAATGCCTGGGTTTGAACACCGGTTCCACTAATGTATGGCCCTGAGCAATTCACTTAAATTCTGTGCATTAGTTCCCTCATCTAAAAAAAATTCAGATAATAATAGTTCCTAACTCAAAAGACTGTTATGAGCATTAAAGGAGTCTAATTACCTATAGGGCTCTACGGGCAGAGCCTGGAATATAACAAGCACTCAATAAACATCACCAATAATCTACTATTATTATTACATACTAGAATAAACATTTTCAAGTTAGGTGCATGATATGTTTACTGAATTGAACACGTATAAAAAAAAAACCCCTCCCTAAAGAGTATAACAAAACAGACATTATCAGTTGAGAGCAAGAACTCAATTATTCCAAATTCTGTAAGGTTCAGCATATGTGGTTATATTCTGTGATGTCACATATTTTGTGTTTGTGTCAATTAAAATGTGCTAAATCCCTTTAGTTGTACAATATCATGCAACTGCACTTTTAAAATGGAAAATTACGAACACATAAAATACAAACCTTCAGAGGCTGAGAGTCTTCCTCATCTGAATCTTTGAATTCAATGCAAATAGCAATATTTCTGGCCTGCAGCGATAGTTAAATAATAAAAAAAAAAAAGAAAAGAAAAAGCCAAAGTATGTAAATATTGATAAAAGAACACGAGAAGCCAAAACCTAAGAGAGCTTGGTATCAAAAATAAAACCTCGGGCTTCCCTGGTGGCGCAGTGCTTGAGAGTCCGCCTGCCAATGCAGGGGACACAGGTTCGTGCCCCGGTCCGGGAAGATCCCACATGCCGCGGAGCGGCTGGGCCCGTGAGCCATGGCCGCTGAGCCTGTGCGTCCGCAGCCTGTGCTCCGCGGCAGAGGAGGCCACAACAGTGAGAGGCCCGCGTACCGCAAAACAAAACAAACAAACAAACAAAAATAAAATCTCAATCTTTGCACTCACCTTGGCAAAAGACTTTTGACTGTCATATTTCAAGGACTTAGGATAAACATAAAGGTGGTGGTTGTAGATGGTGTATGGCTGAGTGTGTTTTGGTATGCAGGGCACAAATTCCTCTACCTCAAACGTGATTGGCATTTTAGTACAGGTTTCAAATTGCTTCGTAGGAATGTATGATGAATTGACATAATCTAAAAAAATTAAAAACAAACAAATTGAAGTAAAAACCAAACAAAAACTTGTCTGTTTATTACATAGAACTTACACTTACTAGGAAAGTCTGAGGAAACACTATCAATTGTAATGTCTAGATTGCCCAGAATCACGGGGAGTTTAGCCATCTTCTCAGGTCTACAAACGAAAGAAGAGAAAAATCAAACAGGTTAGGTTAGCTCTGAATTCTAGAGCAGCACTTCCTAAAGAAATATAATGCAAGCCATAAAAGTAATTTTAAACTTTCAAATAGCTACATTTTAAAAAAGTAAAAGGAAACAGGTAAAAATTAGTTTTAAAAATATTTTATTTAACCCAACATTTAAAAAATATTATCTCAATATGTAATGAGTATAAAAAGTGTGTTCTAATTCTTCGAAACCACGTGTGTGTATTTTACACTTGCAGCTCATGTCACTGGACCTGCTGTATTTCAAGTGCTCGATAGTCACACGTGGCTAGTGGCTACTGTGCTGGACACCACAAGTCCAGATAAGAATATTAGCAAAATGTTATAGTGGAAGTTTTCCTGAACCACTCCATCCTCAGCATACATTCTTGGCTCATGTAGAATCATGAAAATTCAGAAGCCATCTTAAGCTCCAATGTCTAGTGAAATGCCAGATACAAAGAAGGTACTCAGTGAAATGCCTGGTTTTTGTATTTGGTCTGACTCCATCCAATACAGGGATATCCTCTGTGATGTTCCTGACCTGCCTCAGCCCTTCCTAGTGACATGGAAATCTTCAACATAGCCGTTTCGATACCCAAGACTGCTCTTCGTCACAGCATGGTAAAATTCACTTCTCTGAAGCTTCCACTCATCAAGGAGCCTAGTTATGTTTCTCTGTGTAACACTTTTAACCATCTATACACAGCTATCACACCTTCCTGAAGTCCTGGATTCTCAGCCCTTTTGCATCTCCCTCCAATGCCATTTCTCTCACATAAGAACATCCCCCTTACATCATCATGGCTCCCCGAACTGCATAGATAAGGCCCAGTGTGGTCTGCCCAGGTGGGGTAAAGCAGCTGTCTGGTTTTGAACAATATACCCTTCTACTGATGCAGCCAAAATTCTATTACTTTTAAACAGTCACGCCACCCTAGTGACGCACATCAAATTTACAAGCACCTAAACTCCCTAATTTTTTTTTCATATGCTTCACTATCGTGCTATATGTTTCCATCCTGTATTTATACAATTATATTTTTAGAAGTCAGAACAGGATTTGATTTTTGTCTCGGTGAAATTTTATCTTTTTATGATCGAGTCATTCGAGTTGATCAAAACCCTCCTAAGGGCTTCCCTGGTGGCGCAGTGGTTGAGAGTCCGCCTGCCGATGCAGGGGACACGGGGTCGTGCCCCGGTCCAGGAAGATCCCACATGCGGCGGAGCGGCTGGGCCCGTGAGCCATGGCCGCTGAGCCTGCGCGTCCGGAGCCTGTGCTCCGCAACGGGAGAGGCCACAACAGTGACAGGCCCGCGGACCGCCAAAAAAAAAAAAAAAAAAAAAAAAAAAAAAAAAAAAAAAAAAAAAAAAAAAAAAAAACCCTCCTAAATCCAGATTCTAACATCTAATGTATTAGATACGCCTAACAGCTTTATGTCATGAAGACATTCATCAGCACCTTATATTCTCAGAAAAGTCATTGATGAAGATAATGCACAGAATATTGCAAGAAGCAGCTCCTTCTCAAACCTCTAGAGGACCATCGCCAGACTAATACTAGCCACTCATCACCCCTCCTGGCTTCTGGTCACTCCAGCATTGAACAGCTGTCCACTCTCTCACATGCGCTACACTCCTCTGACCCGTTGGTCATCTTAGAATATACACTTTGCATTCCTCTGCTGGACCAGCGTGGCAACCCAATTAAAAACAGAGAAGCCGAAACTTGGCTAGGATAACTTGTTCTATGTGACATGACTTGTTCCTAGAACACAGAACACTGCCTCCTGGTTCTTCATCGGCCACCTGTTTAATAATGTCTTTGAGAACACTGGCAAGAAACAGCACAGCTCAGTGGCCAACAGATTCAGCATTTGGTTTTGTTCCCAGTTTTGAAAAGTTCCTAACTCCTGTTTTTAAGATTCCTCAGACATTATTGTTGTCTTAAGCAATCTCACATGTAACTTAAAATATGTCTTGTGGTATTGTGGAACTGAACCAGGAGGTCCCTAACAGTTCCAAATTCTTGCTTTCATATGACTACAGCCTACATTGAGCATAGTCATCTTTGCCTATCACCAGCTCCAACTTACACAATCACTTTCTCTCAGGGTTCCTCTCATTTCCACTTGTCTTTTGTTTACATCTGAGTTTAAATGAACAATTCCTTGAACTCCTGAGAGAGATAACTGTCAGGAAGGCAAGTCAACAGATATTCATCATTCTGCCTTCAGTTAAAAAGATTGCTGGCCAAAAGATGTCCAGGTACCGTCCAGCACTACCCCGATACTTTGTCCCTGTGCCACTGTGTGATTTGTTCACAAACACAATACCTTTTTCTTCTAGCAGGAAGACTGTGCCTTCGACAATCATTCCCTGGGAGCTGTCAATGGCTTCCCAAGCACTGTTAACTACCACAATGATACTCCACCAGAGCCTCCCTCACCTTTACCCAAAGCTCTTGGGGCATCATCCCTCAGACCAGGGGGCTTCTACGCAGGTATAAATTTTCTTGACGTATACTGCCTGGCTCCATCTCTTCATTTGAGCAACTTAACTCTGCAGCATACCATAAAACTCTGTGTTGACAAAATCTTAGAGACACCTACAGAGTTGTATCTGCTTCCTTGAGTCAGAAATATTATGTTTAATGTAAATGATACTTTTAAATGTACAATAAGTACTCGAGAGTACTATATTTCACCCCTTCCTAGTTATTTCTACCTGTGGATAAATATATACCTTCTTCAAGATTTTGTTTTGGATTATCACTATGACATCATGCCCATATAAGTTTGAGAGATTTGGATTTCTAAGCAACAAATTTTAATTAAATTATCTTCATTCACTGGAACTCTTTCTACGATGTGTTACTTACTTCTGTGTCTAACTATACTTACTTCTTATTCTGTTTCCTCCCTCTACTGAGAGCTTTCACTTCTAGTTGCTACTCTGTAGTGGCATTATTTCCATTCATTTCCAAGCAAGCACCGATCTGAGCTTAGTTCCATATCAGGTAGCACAGGGACTCTGTGGAAGCTGTTTCTACCAACTCAGTTTTTTAAAACATAATCTCAAACCTATTTCAAAACTTTATGATTTTTATTGAACTTGGCTTATTAGAGATCAAAACGTCACACACATCAAAAATTCTACTGCCTTTTATATGTGCATTTCCAAAGTGATGGGGGGGGGGGCGGTGTGCGCAAGCATGTGTTGCACAAAGAGAATTCTCTCATATCTGCAATTAGTTTGGAGTTTTTTTTAATGCTAAAAATTCGTACCCACATTCTATGTAAAACTTATAAAAGAATGCTTGAGAATGAAAACCCATCTTAAAACTTCACTGATTAAATAAATGTGTAATGGAGATGCATGTACGGAGTCTGGCATTGGGAAAGTGCTTCTGTCTACATGTGAACTTAAGAGTGAGGCTCAAACTCCCTCTCTTGGGAAAAGGAAAGGTTTTCTTTTCCCACTGTCCATACATTCCTGC